AGTACCTGAGTCACATCAGCATCATCTCCTCCGTCTCTCGGGACCCAGGACCTCTGGAAGCTGACACTGGTCTCAACTGGGCGGATCATTACACTTGAACCAGGAAGGTGGAACCACACCAGCAGAGCTGAACCTTTAGCTAGTCTCGGGATTATTTCTAGCCAAGAAAGTTCTTAATACGGTCCAGATGAGAGCAGGCTCTGGCTGCCCCAAGGTCTGCTTGATCTGCCTTATCCCACGTTGTAGCATAGAAGTTGAATCAGGCTCTCGTCAGGAGGGGATCACTCGGCAGCAGAAGCAGAGCTAGGGATGACTTAGTGCCAGCTTCCTTCCCCACCTGCAGCTGAGCAGCTCTTTTCTCCCACCGCACTTGGTCCCTTTGGAACACAGATCAATCCAAGCCAGAAACCAAGGCAGGATAAAGAGTCTTTTTGTTCTGGTCTTTGCACTGAACTTTCAAACTGCAGCAATACCTGTCTCCTCACAACGGAGCCCTCTTTCACTCCTGGATTTTTCCTACCCTCACTTTCCCTCCTTCTCATCTCTTTCCACTTCTCCTCTCTGCTCTGCTTTACCCCACGTAATCTTCAGTTCCTTTGCTCCTCTTGCTTCCTCGCTTCCTTTCCCCCGTCTCCAGTCCTGCACCCCTTTCTCACTGCCCTTGCTTCCCAAAAGAGGCTTCTGCCCCTTTCCTTTCTCCCTGCAGCACTCACCTCTGGCCCGGGGAGATGAGAAGCCCTGGTCTGGCAGTTCTCATGCGATACCCTCCAGGGACTTGCACAGCACAGCCCAGCCATTTTCACAGCACCGATGCTCTCAGCAAGCCCATTTTCTGTTCACTACTCAGGTACTTTAGTAATACTGACGGGGGATGCAGACAGACCCTCACACAGGTAAGGTCTTGGTTTTCTGAAACAAGCCCACATCTTAAATTAACCTCTAGGAGAGGGGTTTGTCTTTTCATAGGTCTGTAATTACCAAGCTTAGCAGTGCATGGTATAAATAATTTTCTTTATTGGCAAGTTTCAACTATGTGCTCAGCCTATACAAGACACAATGATGCAGAAAGTTCTTGTCCCAGATAAAAGATAAACATGGGGGAAATGGGAGCTAAAGGTAAAGGATAAAGAGAGTCATATTTTTCAAGTATTACATTCCATTCTGTAGGTGTTACAAACAGGACTGAGGCTTAAAGAAGGATCTGAGTAAGACGGCAATAACCTGGAGACAAGATGTCTGCAGCTCTTGTGTTTTCCTGATCCCACCTGGTTTTTAGGGCATTCCCTGGTCCAGGTCCGACCACTGAAAACAAGGATCCAACAGCGTGTCACCGCGAGGCTCGCTCGCGTGCCCTCAGAGACCAGTAACCTAGCTGGCTGTTGGAAGGGTTCTTCGGAGACCTTTTGCCTTCTGAATGCCAGAAACTACAGAATCCACGTAGTGCTTGGGAACGGCCTTTGCTGAGGTAGTTTGTTGGCCAGGCAAGCCTAAGCGCCAACTGAATTAGCTGCACGACAGAACATCTTCCTCTTTCTCCAGGTTCCTGACTCTTCTTCTACACACTTGTCAGAAAACTCTCTGCAGCAACCCAGCAAGGTTGAACTTGCCCTGCATCTTCAGAATCCCAAGGGAGGACAAATGGAGGTGAAGAAGGGTCAAAACAGTTCTGAAAAGACACAACAAATTCTGCCCAAGGGGGCATGGTCCACAAGGAAGTGTAATACTGGTATTTCAGTGGTTATCTGAGCAGCTCACTGAGAGAGGCCCTCAGTAAAAGAGTGAATTTTGGTTTGACATCTGAATATGCTATTTTAAAAACATATTTCATTAAAAAACATGTATTCATCATTAGTGCTTCAGAAGCAAAAAGGGCAGGGTGCAACCCAGCTGGGGAAAACAAGAAAGAGAAACATGTGCGCTGCAAATTCACAAGTATTTTCCACTATATCCTCACGGGAAGGAAATTTCAGAGTTTACTCCCTGTATCGTGGGCTGCCACGGCTTGGTGGGGCTAAGAGGGAGATTTCACTGTGGGCCCTCCTGCGTGCTGGTCATGCTGCTTTTCAGGGCTGTCTCTGCAACAGTACAGGGAAGAAGATAATTTGAAGCCAAGGAGGTCAGAGTTAGGGTTCACATTTCTAGACAGCTGGAATACAGATTTGCTTTCTTAAGCCTGGTCAGCTAGGAAGGATAAAATACAATATTGCTTTTCCTACCAACGACAAAACTACCAGATCTGCCCATAAAATTACCACCTCAATTTCTAGGTTAGCAGCTTTTCATTCATTTCCCTATCGACAGAAACTTGTTTGCAACAAAGTCCTTGTTTTGCTGGTGCAGACCGTTAGTTCATCCTACCAACATGGTAACTCCTGGCTGATGCTGTCCTCAAAGAATCATCCATGCTACTCACCCAGACATCCCTCGAAGTATTGCCTTAACCGAGTTTTGTACAGCACTGAAATCACTGCTGGCTCTAATCGAAGATAATGAGAATACCAACGACAATACTAATGCTTCTAGCCAGGTCACAGGCTCACTTTCCCACTCTGACCGCAGCACACCTTTTCCGGCTGTTTAAAGAACAGATCGCAAGGAGAAAGGAAAAAACCTACTTCGGCAATGCTTACTATTTCTGAGCAAAGCAGCGGGGTGACTTCTTAAAGCCCTTAGCACTGGGCTGAGAGCCAGGATCGTCTCTGATATGAGCTTCCTCTGTGGTCTCATCTCCTCCTTTATAACAGAGATTTAAAAGCCACTTATTTCCCACCAATGACATGCAATGACATAAGAATTAGTTAAGATCTTGATGGTGGCTTGGAAATGCAAAACACCAGTCATTATGACAGCTTCCCAAAGAGTAGAAGTTGTAGTACAAACTCACTCTATCTCAAATATTACATGAGAAAAAACCCAAACCAATCCAAACTCAGAAGACAAGCCTGAGCTTTAAGCTGTCAAAGAGTTTAAATTTCTCCCTTGATTGGAACCTCTTAGAGCAGCTAGGAGAAAAAAACGTTTTCCTCTGTATTTAGCAAATGCCAATTCCCCTTCCACGCTGTTGTTGCTAATTGGGCAGAGATAACCCCAATTTACTTGGGTCTATGTAGCAGCATCATTGCCAGTGTCACTGCAGCCCTGGGAATGCTCCTTGCCTATTGACTGATACTGCCACAGAGCCAGGAGGGAAAGCATCCAAACAGGATCAGCGAGAGAGAGAGATAAAGCTACCTAGAAGCATTTAAATGTCTAGGTTAAGATCATTTCTCTGCCAGGTAACGATTGACTAAAGGTGTTCTTTTACAGTCTGGAACAGAAATGCTGTAACAAAAGGGACATAAAAGTCTATACTTATCTACTTGGATTCTGGAGACAAGCAGATGCCTCAGAAAAGCAGTAATAGCTGTTTTAACATTTCCTGGCTGGTTAACTGTGCTCAAATTTAAATACGGCTACCAGGAAATTTCACTTCCATCCCCTCCGGAATTGGCAAAGAAAGCAGAAGGACTATCAAGTCTTCAGGCATAGCTTGCTACCCCCGGATAGTGCAGTGCTTCCAAGAGAGCTCAGCAGATACCACCAGAACCATGAAGACTCAGCGCATCTATCCCTAGAGACTGTCTCTTACCAGGATCAGACTTGATGATTCAGAAGACGATGTTAAGAATTACCTAAGTGGTCAATGAGAGAACCACCTGGCCAAAAAGGCAGTTTCTCCTTAGCTGCTGGCTCATATTCTAAAGAAAGAAGGCTCACGTTCAGTTTGTTTTTTCTCTTCATCCCTTGAAATACATAGTCCTTTGTTTAAATGCTGTGGGTTGCTGGCCCAGTGCTTCCCTAAGGTAATGACCCCCACTGGTAACTGGGTTGACGCAAGGACATTTTTAGTTTCATCAGTTTTTGACGTCGTTTGCCCAGCTGTCTCCCTGCCACTTGTGCTAACTTATCCTTCCAATTCTGCTAGTTCCAGAACAGAATTCAAAACATCAGAAGACAGAGTCGAGGTTATCACAGGTTCAGCTGAGAAGTGCACGTAAGAGTCACTTTCCCAACTACAGACAAATGTGAGAACTTGGGATATCAGTTCTGAGCTCAGAGCTGAAAATAGTGCACACTCCTACAGAAGGAATAAAAGTCCTTAAAGGGCAGAAGGGCAACCTAAAGGAGAGGGAAGAAAACAGCTCCAAGAATCCCACAGAAGCATACTTGGCTGTGGCACCAAAGAGACTCTCTCGGGCGATGTAGCGTCTGGAGTATTCACTACTTCTTGCTCAGAAATGCCTCCTTGAAATCCAGAGCTTTTCCGTCTTCCACTAGAAACAGCTGAGCAGGTCTGCCTCGCCACCCCAACGCACGCTCTCAAGGGCACCACGTCAGGGACTCTGCCTCACACTGTGTGTGTAGTGTCTCAATTCTGCTCCCACTGGAAGTAAAGGGAATTTTCCCAGTCTTTCCAGTGGAAACAGGGTTTGCCCAAATGTTTACAGGCAGTAGTGAAACTAGGCAGCCCTGGGACACAACCCTAAGCGACCAGAATCAGCACTCTCAACAGAGACAGACCCCATGATAACAGGAAGCACAAGGCAAGCTTCGCTACCAGAATGAAAAGATGATACATAAGAGATGAACTTTTTAAACAAGAGGATATAACAGAAGGCGATTTCAGTCCAACCAACTCACTGTCTTTCCGTCTCAAGCTCTAATCAGTCCATATCACAAAACCATAAAAGCCTCAAACAAGCACGCTGCCAATTGCTTTTCTCTGGGTTACGAACACATGAAGGAATGGGGGAGATACGGTAACAGCAGCGACAAGCCTGGCAGATCCTCCCGGTGGGGTGAGATCCAGCACTGTAGGATTTGATTCTTTTTAGAGTTTAGCCAGTAGCATGTATGGTATAATCTATGGAAACTGTCCCATTGGATTTTAAAACACAAACACAGCAGAATGTCATCATAAATAAGCAAAGTCTGTGTTAAAAAATTCTAAGTACACAGCATTTTCTCCAGTTCTGACACCTTTTTAATAGAAATCACTTGTTTAGGAAACAAATAGCACTTTTGTAATTTTTTTTTTTTTACAATGTTTCTTACCTTGATCTTATTTTAAGTAACACTAGGAAGACCTCAATATCTTTTATTTTCCTTTTTAATTTAAAAAAGTTGGTTTTTTTCCCCCAGATACAAAGATTTTGCCCTTGCATAAAAAAACAGTGCCCAAAACGATGACACAAGGACTCACAAAGACTCACTGTATCTCACTGACACTATTACTTCTAATCTATACCATGCAAGGTCCCATCTACCTCTTTAATTAGACTGTCAGCCTGAAAAACAGCTTTTCTATTCCTTATTTAGTTCTTGTTACCAAAAGAAGAGAAAGGAAGTGAAAGAAAAGGACATTTCTCTGTTCAGTTCACACATCTGGGTCATGTGCTACTTTGTTCAGGATACCTTTGTTGTTTATAAATATAGAAAAGGGTTGGAATCTCATTTTCAAGTAATCGATGCACATTTTCTCGTGGGACACCTCCATCCAATGCTCCAAGCTGACCCTGGATTCTGGCCCTCTATCTTCCCATTCCCAACACAGGCTTTCTGGATGAGCGTGAGGACCCAAACCAAGTCTGCAAAGCATGTCTGTTGTTTGATGTGAAGAAACAGGATTAACCCAAAGCTGTTGGGACAGCAGATCCTCAGCCTGTACATGTGCTGGTTACTCAGTGAAAAGTCCATCTCCTTTCCTTTTGTACATCTCCTGTCTAAACAATAGTAAATACTGCTTATTTGATAGACTTGTCCCTTCTGGGCACTGGGATTTGATAATTTATATTTCTGGTTTTTTTGGTTTAATAGTACTGAGAGTTTAGAAACAGGAAAAGCCCACAGGCTCTTTGGACTTGTTTTTTTGTTTTCCCCTAGCTAAACAAACTGTTCTGCAAATAAGGATTTGAAACCTGCTCTCCTCCCTCATCCCTGCTCCTCACCCCAAACAAAAACCTAGAGTGGCTGTGGAGGCTGCTGCAGGCACACACTGGTGTAAAATATAGAGAGAGTAAATATATTATTTCACTTGGCATGGTGCTGGCAAAGAACCCCCAGCTGGCACTATTCATGTAACATGATCCAAACTTTGCATGTACACACAGAATAAGAAGGATCAATTGGCAAACTCCGGTGCCGCCTGGCACAAGCATCTTCACGCTCTCTCTGGAACCAAAGAACTAAAGAATTCTGCACTTTCCAGAAGAAATCCGGTTTTGCTTTTCTAGAGTTTCTTTATTTTGCTCTTCCTCCTCGCCGCCACCTCCCTTGGCTCCTTCTTAACTTCACTGTGTTATTTAGTCTCATCGCCCTTGTTACAGTTCACCATGCAGCTCTGGGAAGGGGAGGGGGCTAAGGTGGAGGTGGCAGCATTAGTATTGTTAGTGGAGTCCATGCCATTGGAGATGGCTACTGAATTGACCTCAGAGTTTATGGGTTTTGAAAGGTCGATGCCTTGGATGAGGCGGATCAGCTGTTTTACCTTCTCCAAGGAGCTGTGCATCTCCTTCTGTTTTGCAAGGATGGTATTCTTCATTTCCATGCATTTCTGCAGCAAAACAGAAAAGCAGTAATAAGTTCAAGCTTATGTATGAAAGAAGGTAAGAGAAGGAATATGATGTTCACAGATCTAAATGGAAGTACGCAGAAAAGACTGCAGCTACAATTTCACTTTCCCAGTCTAGAAGAAAAAGAGTCTCAGGGCTGCGTTCACAGGAGAATTCGTGTTTGCAGGCTGAGGAATTAAATTACCAGTACATAGCTGTCACCTTGTATGGCCCCCTTTCATCCCAGAGTGTTTTGCAAATGAACACAGACAGCTCTATCCTTTTGTCTTCTGTTTGAAGGGAAACTTCCAAGTATACGTTCTTCTTATTTTTTTCTGTTAGTATTGCATTGCTGAAATTTCTTTAGCTCAGATCTGCAAACTCAGGCATCCTACTGCAGCTGACTGCTGACAGCGTGTGTGCATGCCGCTGATGGGATACAGCCTTTGCCTTCACATACATTTTAGCAGGAACATCATTTCCTCCTCTCAATAAATAAATGGGCACTTGAAAAGAAAAACAAGCCCTTCTTCACTTGAAAATCTTCTTTTGTGGCCACTTCTTTCTCTTAAGAAGCGGCAGTAACCTACCTAGCTCATCAGTTAAGAGTCAGGCTAAGATAACTTTAAAAAAAGCCCACAAACGATGTTTCAAGGGTGAAAAACTGCTTGTATCTGTATTTGAAACTCTCAAAAAGAAGGAGATGGTAGCTATGTCTATAACATTCAAGCTCTTGCACGAAGATGGCAACCTTCCTACATTTTTTAAACCTTTTATCCAAGCTGATCTCCAGACAGTGTTGGTTTCAGCTTTACTATTTTCACATGCAGCTCGTGGTGTCACAAAAACACCACAAAATTAAGACCTAATGTGTCTTTTTTGGACAGTTCCCATGAAAGTATAAACAAGGACTTGATCATAGAAAATAAACCATTCTCCTTACTTACTGTCAATCCCTCACGTTAAGGGCTTGTATCTGCCTGGGTACATCGCCGAGAAACTGCGTTAGTGCTCTAGTGCTGCTCAGGTTATGCCCAGCTACTGCTAACCAGAAGACGACAGTCTCCAGAACTGTTAACCAGCACTTCTCACCACTTATTTGCTCACAATCATTTTATTTGTATCGTCAGCATTTAGGGGTTCTATAAACATGGGACACTTACTTTTGTTCTAATAGGTAAAGACAGGCAGACCGGAAAGTCCATCTGTATTTAAAAAGGAAAGTCTGTACTTATGTATCCAGCCTTACAGACGCTGCCACCTACGAGATTTCAGTACTTCTCATTCTGCGATATCGACTAAGGCTACACTAAGTGAGGGGCTCAAACTTTACACTGGCAACTCAAGAGCCTGATTTGCATATTAAGGTGAGAAGAGGGAGCAAATTAATATGTATGCTCCAATTACTGCGATAAACTAAGGTGGAAACTACAGCTTCTGGTTCAAAGTATGACATTGTCTAATTAATATTATGCAGATGCATGCACAATGTCCAGCTGCTGACCGCCAAGGCAACATGTCAAGAGCCTGAGAATCAGTCATGAATAAATGGTCGCTTTTGTATTAGGAAGCTCTGAAAGCGCACCAAGACTGTAACTCTTACTACACGCAGAGGCCCAACCATTCTTATTTAAGTGAGCCACTGGAGAATTTGACTTCATTTACTGCCCACAGACAATAATGCTCTGGGTCATGTGTGTCATCTGGTGATATTAGAGGTCACTATGTCTACAATATATGGTCAGCATGGATCATGTATAAGTGACTCAATGTAAGTATACGTTGCCTGTATTTCATTTCTGCTCCCCAAAGTCCTAAAAAGGAAAGGCAAGCGCTCATTCAATTCTCAGTAAATCCAGTGGAAGACAGGTCTAGCACACAAAGTCACTCTATAGTTTTCTCTCTGCATTCTAGCACCAGAACACAGGTGCAGAGTTACCTGGGAGGGCAATACTCACCGTTATAGAATTGCTGAGCTGTTTGACCTTCTGCTCTAGTTGTTCTCTTTCCTGTTTTAAATCTGAACTCCATTTAAGTAATTTCTGTTTTTCCTCTTCTTTTGCTGCAAAACAGAATATTAATCACAACATTGAAATTGTTCCTGTTAACAACAGTGGATAGAGGCTCTAAACTGCTTCATGTAAAGAGGCTAATTGTGTTTAAATTCAACAACTTGTGCACTATTTCACCTACATACACAAGCATCACAGAAGGCTTAACAAATATTTAGACTGCTATTTTCACTTCACTAGTGATTAAGGTTCTTCCCCTTTAATTTCCTTTTGTAAAGGAAGTACCATTTTATCCCATTCCCGAAATAACATCGTCCATTATTAGAAAGTGAAACAAAAGTGTTGTTCTCCATTTTCCTACCTGCTTTATATGCAATATATGAATGAACAATTGCTAAAGTTCCTGGCCATGGGATTGCCTCTTCTTTCTTTAGCATCTGAAAGAAAAGTGTTTAAAGATTTAGCTGGTCTACAATGTACCTCTAAGAAAGCAAAAAGGAGAGAGAGAAAGAGGGAAAGACTGAGAATTTTCTTTTATGGCTATCATTAGCCTCAGCCCTGTTAACATGAAGCTTCACAGACCTGTTCCAAGATTTAACAGAGGGAATTATTCACAACTGTATTGTGGTTCCCACAAAGCAGGCCTCTTTCTTACAAATGTCAGCGTTTTCTCAAATTCCCTCCATAGCCACAAATAAAGTCTACTAATGAAACGGAACAACTGAAAAGAGGAATGAAAGGATAATATATCTTAACTCAAACTTGCCAGGAGACAGAAACATGATTTCATGGTTCAGACGAACTGCTGATCTTAGGTGTTCTGGAAGAAGAGTTTTCGTGGCACAGAACAGTTTCCACACCATACGTTCCAACATCACACTTCGTGGCTAGTAAAACATGAAACCATCCTATCTCCCCTTCTTATCAGAATCATCTTAATAGAGTTGTCAAACCCTCTTTATAAGGATAAGCACCATTTATGTCTTTCAGATGCTTCCTACATGTTCCTTCCTAACAAACTTTATTTTGAGAGGAAGGACAAGTTCTTTTTAGTAAGTGAATCAGAGGGGTGTCTCAGAAGATAGAGGACTTGGTCATCTTACAGTGAAATTACCCAGATTTTCCTCCCCTAATTTCGTGGGAACCTATTGCAGAAATATGAAGAGGAGGGATAAGGTGAGAGTAGGCAAGAAAGAGCAGGAATAGGGAAGTGGTAACATTCCCTACTCTCTTGTAACTACTGACCAAGTCACTTGAGTTTTGCGTTTTCATTCTTTTGAACAGCATATTGTACGTCAGGCTGTTTTCTTATGGTGCCATCTGGCTAATCGAAGGTCATGTGGGCAACCAAGCAATATGCCACATCAGACAGAATGCTAACAGCTTCAGGCTGCCAATTATCAGCAATCCTCTGCAATTTCTGGACTTCCATGCAAGGGTTAGGAACACAATAGTTTACTTCTTTGTCTTGTAATATCAATGCAATTATATTGCAAAAATAATAATGCAATCTGTTCACTTCAATTGTGTACTTTCAGAGAAGGATCTGGAAAGAAGATCCACCAAACTATTCGCCTGTCCTCACTATACTGATGCTGGATGATATTATTAAAAAGATCACTGAAGACAACCTCTCTGATGTTTGATTTATATGAGCAAACAGGGGCTTATATTTGCTCTGTCTATTGAGGTAGGCTTGTGCAAATGTTTTATTTATTTGTCCAGAAGAACATACTTATAACTTTTGAAGAAACAACGAGCTTAAGATGAACAGCAAAATTTCTATGGGTCATAAAAAACCTTTCCCAAAAGTTTGTGTGCTTTGGTCGAGAAAAAGAGTAAAACCACAAGACCCAAATCGGGGAGCAAGACCTAACAGTTTGTATCTGCACGCATTCCAACAGAAGTAATTCGATCAACTTCACACAAGCCTTATTACAGATCAAACAGATTTGTTCAGTGTCAGGCTGTCTTGATCTAAGTAAGACAAGTGATGTGGTTATTTTCTTTAACACCAAAAAGTCTTTACAGTGCATTGTATATAACTCTCCCTGTCTGTCAAACAATACCTGGTCTTGACATTTGGGACAGATCCACATGCCCTTGGGAATGGTTTTCAGAGGCGGGTCCAGACAGTCCAGGTGATAAACACGTGAACATGTGTCACACATCAGCAACTGCCCGCTTTTTCTGCAAACACTGCAAAAATCCTCATGGATATCGCCCTATAAAAATTGAGGGGAAGGGGTGTGGGTGAGAGAAAGAGAGAGAGAGAGAAGGCAAAAAGTGAACTTTGACTTTTGACATCTATATCCTAGTTAAATGCAAAGTTTACAGCACAAACTATTTCTAAGGGGATTCCAAACGGTCAAGCCCTTTTTAGGCTGTGAAACAGGAAAACCAGGTAGGATGTCAGAAACAGTCTGTCCTCCCAAGGCAAAATGCTACAGCAAACACTCATTATCATAGCTTCTCTTAACAACTGCTACCCCATAGCCTTTCTTCTTTAAGACTGCCTCTTTACCCTGCTTTATTTTTCCCTAAAGTGATGAGCTACCCACTTCCTTAACCCGTCTCATTTCTGAATGTAAGCGCAACTCCACTTCAGGAATGCTGATGAGGCTGTCTCCTGACAGTAATAGTATGTAAGAAACCCCAACTGAGTGACTTAAAAGACCACTGTCAAATATTTAGGTCACCTTTAAAGATGAAACTGGAAGGAAAAGGTATTGTGCTTGTAAATGAAAAAGAACAGAATGAATGATGTTCTGAGACAATTGTTTTTACTTCACTTAGGTCATCTCAAGTTGCACCAAAAAAGCTGTGACTCAAATTTTTCTCGTTCTCTACAGAGATTGGTTTATGTTTCATCACTAACATAGGCTGAGAGCCAGGACGGAGGAATACCAAGAGAGATTTTCTAACTAAGGGTTTTTTAAAAGAAAGAATTGAAGACATTACTGGCAGTGTCTCTTAAAAAAACCTAGCTTTAGTTACTATTGCATCACCATCAGAGAGAATCTGTTTCTACAGACATTAACTTCCCAGAAAGGTAGGTCTGTATTTTGTCACCTTTTCTTCTCTCTCTCTCCTCCTGTTAGTCCCATCTCGTGCTTGGAGCGGGACCCCAGCCCTCTCCTCTCTCTGCCTGTGGGCTGTCCTGGCAACTCTGACGTATTCAAGGCCTCACCTGGAGCCTGAAATACACACTTCTCACTGACTTTGGTTAAAGTTTCACACACACACCAGATCTGCAAGATTGTGACTTTAAGACGTACGTGTTGAGTCAAACTGCACGTATACTACTCCCCCCTGTATGAAATATCAACGTGTGCAAGGTTTCATTTTGACCTGTACAGTCTTTTCATGTGTGTGAATAAGTTCTATCAATTTGGAGGGATAGCAGATTTGGCCGTGCAATTACACATTAAGTTGCCAGGCAAGAAAAATGACACTAATCTCTACTATGGATAAAATATTAAACATATTAGAAGAATGACACACAAGCAATCTGCTCGGGGTTCTACGTCCCAGCTCTATTGCTGATGAGGCCTTTCTTCGAAAGGAAGGCTATTCTTCTCTTAATTCCCAAGGTTAGCACTGATGTCGTGTTTTGTAAAGGATCAATCTTTAGTGAATTTTCAGTGCCATGTTTTGGTTCTGTAATTCCCAGGGATCTTTGAGAGCTGGGCTATGGTACTACTTCATCCTGTAACACCAAAGAGTTCCTCGGTGTTAAATGAAAATTTAAATGAGCGACATTTCATGCCTCTTGTGAAGCGATCTATGTAAAGGCTGGGAAGAACTTCTTTTCCTCTACCATGCATTCTGCGAGTACAAGGAAAAGAAGGCAGGCAAGAGTGTCATACAAGCTAAAACAAAATCCTCTGCAACCTAAAGAAAAATTTAAGAGGAAAATTCTCACATTTTAGAAGAAAATCCTCATCCTAGAGAATTACATGTGTTAAGATGCTTTGGTTGCCATAGACTACATGATGGCACTTGGTAACTGGCCTAGGTGCAGAATTACTGGTGTGTTGAAAACCAAACCTGTTTTGTCTAATACCCTGCAGAAAGAGACCTACACAAGGGACAGATGCAGTTGCTTCTTGAGGGGGAGACATTTAGAAATTTAGACCCAGAACCTTCTAAATTCAACTGAACGCTGCAAAACTTGAAGTGACACAGCTGGTCAGTGTCCAGTGTGGCTGAATGCTTTGAGATGACAACACACATGCATAAAATCCACAGTCCTATTTTTGGTAATGTAAAATTCACAGCATTTCCTCAGAATTAATAACAGGCCTTACCAAAATCCCAGCCACTGTTTGATTCCAAAGAAATGCCCCTGGTGTTATGGGCAGTTAATAAATATATGCATAAAGGGGGGCTGGATTTGATGTTGTGACACGCACCTGACTAATCTCAGTTTTGGGACCAGCTCTGTGAAGGCTACAGGCAGCCAACTTAGGCTAGAGCAGAGCTCACTGAGGCTGCTCTAACACATGCCACAGGCCAAAGAGACTGGAGAATAATTTCAGAAGAGAGACCATAAAAGGTGATTTAACGTCACTTTTTGCTCTACTTCCTCTGCACCAAGAGACCAGGAAAATAAATGAAAGCTTTTTGGACAGCTAACAGTTTTCTTTATTTTTATAAAGTGTCTAGAGCAGCAGAGCCTGGCTTTAGGCAACAGACCTGAATAACACAGTATCAAATCAGAAGTAGATGCAGTTTGTGTGTTTGAATATGTAATGACTGTACTTATATGTACATTTCACTGGAACAACATGGGAAAACTAAATATTCTGCAACAGGAATTGCTTATGACCATATAAATAAAGATGATCATAATGTATGATATAAGTGAATGAAGTTATCAGAAGCAATAATAATTCTGGCATTTCCTAACTTCTATGGGCTTGACTTTGCAACCTGAGCATTCTGTAATGCTCCTCTCAATTGAAACATTATTTTGATATAAAAAGTTTACCAATAAAAAGGCATTCTGTGACCACAGACTTGAATCATCACCAGATTAGAGATTTTTGCACTATTCTTACTGCTGAGTAATTGACCTTCAAAGGCAATTGCTATCTTCCAGGTGAATATGCCACTACGGCGTGACGGAGAATCACACATAACTAGGTGGTTTACAGTCCACTGCCAAATAGAAGAAAGAAAAAAAAAAAGGAAAAAAAAGAGAGAAGTTTTGCTCAATCCTGCCTACTGCATGATTTCCTTCCTTTTCCCAGGTTCTATTCCTACTTTCTACCCCTCCATACTTATCACCAATCTCATCTCAAGTTCCTGCTTCATGCTCCCTTCAAAATTTCACTGTCATTCAGAGAACGACAATTCAGGAGAGAATAGCAAGAATGCCGCTCTGGGCCATGGTGGCTGGTGTTGAGTGCTTGGTCCGATTTGCAATTTTCACAGGTTGGCTAAAGACAAAGACTACTCCAATGCTAAATATCAAATTTCCATTCTAAAGGAATTCTATCGGAATTAGACCTTCTCAGCAAATTAATGCAAAAATATTTTAAAGATGGGCAAAATAGCAGTTTTCTTCTATATCTGTCTGAGGAACTGCTCAACTGTTTTAACAGAGACTTCTGAAATAGCCTTTTACTTAGGCATGCACTTGCTGTGTTTTCATTTTTAAGTCTCCAAAAGCTGGAGGCTGTAATTACAGATATTTTCTGTCCTATCTAGAACAGAGAGAACTTTCTACATTCACATCATCTGCTAACAGTGCAGACCCTCTTCATGAGATGGACTGCCAAAAGAAGTGATCCTGCCTTCTCTACACACCCAGACGCTCATTTCTGTCCCCTGCACGAGGCTGGCACAAGAACGCGTACGTCTATAAAATTAACCAGATTAGGGCACTATCTTGCCTAAGACTAACAAGTTTTAGCTAAACCACAATGTGGCCTTAGATACATCTGTGCTGGAACAAAATAAGAGGCATTTAAGGGATGAGAAAAGACTGCTGGTGACAGGCAGGACAGTTCTCAGTGCTAGCACCCATCATAAACTGTGGCATGAGCATTTCAGTGTATACTGTATTCTACATCTAATTAAGCTGCAAGCTCCTTAAATGTCAAAGACCTAATTTTCCTCTTTGTCTTCACCTCCAGCACAACTTGTACTGTTGATGTTTAAATATATAGTACTTTCCCAGCATTATATAGCACTTTTCTAGTCAAAAATGCAAAAGGTTTTTACAAGTATTGCTAAGTTCTGAAAACTCGGATGGAAAAGGAAGCACCATACTAAATCTATAAATGGGGGAAACCAAATCACACAAAAGGCATGTGACTGTACAAGCTTATACAGGAATTTCATGGGTACATATTAACAGAAGACTACCTTCCAGCTAATGATGGCAATAGAAAACCATTCCTCTCTTTATGAGGAAAAAAGAATTATATATGAGCAAGTAAGAATTATAACATGTAATGACAGAAGAACAGATCTTGTATTTACTTCCAGGTCTTGTATTTACTCCTTTCCAATATTCTGCTGTCTCTGAAAGTTCAAATTTTAATAGTCTATTTTTAATTAAAAAATATTTTTATGAGAACTTTGAAAGATATTTTCTACTTTTACATGTATTTTATTTTATACGGAACATTTTATACCAAACATTTCTGAAAAGTCTACCAAATTAGCACAACTGATAGTCAATATGCATTGAATGGGCCCTTGGGACAAAAGTCTTTCAAAAAATAACTCACAAAAAATGTTAGTGCTGCTGCATATGTATAAACTAAATTACTTGTCTGGAAACATGTTAAAGGAGATTTATGTATGACTCTAAAGGGGAAAAAGTGCTACAGTGCTATGTTACAATATGATGAGGTAAGAGAGAATGTTAATTACCTGCTGTGTAATCTTCCATTGTCTCCTTTAAAATACTTCTATTTTCATTAATTAATTAATATTAAAGCAATCCAGAACCTAGGCCTAAATGCTGTCCAAATTCAGAAAACTCAGGGCATTCAGAACTAGATTTGAATGCTACAGAATTTCACTATCCTTGATTTCGCTTGCTGCCACCAGGCACTGCAGAAAACAGGGCAACCACTCATTATACCATTTTGAGAGCCCTTACACAGTGGGAAAAAGACTTGGCAGTATACGCACACAAGTCAGAGATGGAAAAGATCTCCCACCATATTATCCAGTCCTTCTCTTGGGGCCAATGTAAAAAATGTGCTCTCCAGCATGTTTGCTAGTTGTTTGTACTGCTTACTTTTAAAAGTCCCCAGAGATGGAGCTGCCCCACCTTCTCCCTAAGGGGCTGTTCCCCAGTCCCATTCATTTGACTGTCAGGAAAGGGTTTTTACAGTCAAGTGCTATTCTACTCTCAAAAATGACTGTATGAAAGAGAACCTTTTAATTTCACATACATACTCCTGGCGTATCGGAGTTGCATCTATTTATTTCACTGACTCAGACACACTTGTACTATTTCTATTCCTGTTACCTCTGCAGAACAAATCCAGATCAGAGGCAAGAACTTGGCTTCTAATCCTTGTTGTATGTGGCCAGTAGAGTTGGTCTCTCAGTCTATGTACTTACAGCGGTGCAACTGCATAGATGAAAATAAAGTGGCCCAATTCTTCCTTAAAGCCCATTTCAAATGGTTGGGCCTCAATTATATGTGATAATATGTTTGGGGAAAAAAAAAAGGGGGGGGGAGTGAGGTGGGAGAAGAGACTGCTCTGACTCAGATCACAGAAGGAGTTTGCAGCACTGGTATGAAGAAATAAGCAAGCACCTTTTTATTTTTAAACTCTGCCCAATAAGTCTAGTCTTTAAAACACAAGCACTTTGCTGGAAGTACATGACAACTCCTGAGAATTTTTGTGCAATGAATTGTTTCACTCATACTGAACAGTCACAGTACACTTTCAGACAAACCACAGTGTACAGTCCTTTCATTATGTCATTTTGGACCTACACAGCAACCCAGTCCAATTCTTCACAAGCTATTTATCTTCTAAAGTTTATGGAGTTTATGTTTTTTTCGAGAAATAGAAACATTGAAATAACTGGATAGTTCTCAGTAACTTAAAAAAGGTTGTACTTTGAGTAGTAAATCTGATCTTTGAATTAACTTAAAATAAGGACACTCACTTCTTTATAAATTATAACAATAGGTTATAGACAGGTTTTGCCACCCGACCAAAGGGGTGATTTATTTAGCTCCGCCAGTACACCAGAATGGCCAAACCAGTGCTGCAAATGCGACTCCTGGCTGTTCCGCGTGACCCGAGCGGTTTCCCACCTTCTCTCATTACAGAAACACCACAACTTTTTTGTTATTATGGTCTGTAAGCAATACTTTTCATTCTCCCCTTCCCCCTTTTTCATGGATGACAGGTTCAATTCAGTCGGCAAGATCTCAGACATGGCACAAAGGAAATGAGCTCATCTAGCATGCCTGGTGCCTCCCAGTGTTTCAATCCACTGAAGGAGTTATAAATAAAATCTCCACAGGACAAAAACATAGGTGCAGGAGGAAAAAGGGTGAATGTTAAAAGAGTGCTGGACTGTTTCACTGCACTGAATCAGGACAAATGATGAGTGAGACTAAAGAAGCAAAGCTGCAATGATTTTCCTTGTGGCTGTTTCTGCATTTCTTTCTAAAAGTAACCCCCTCCCCAAGAGTTACTTACGTCTGTGGAGCTGGGGCTAGGCAGGGACACAGGCTGAACAGCTGCGGGAAAAGTAAATGTGGTCTCTGTCTTTTCATTTTCGGGGGAGTCAGGATAACTGGACAGAGGGGATGTGGGGGTCAAAGCCCCGAACCCCAGCACCGTGTTGTATTTAGGTGGACGACCTACATATTAACAACAGGGAACACAAAAAAAAAGAATAGAGAAAAAAAAAAAAAAAAAAAGGAAAAATGATCTTACATACCTTTGGCCAGTGGTCCTCATTGGCTAGCGTGAAAAAGGAAATGATGTAGCACAGAGAGGAAGTTAATATAAAAGTTACAAGTAGAAGGACAGAAGCAAAGATTTAAACATTTTTAGACTCTTTAAGTAGAATTTTGCAAGGAAAGAACATTTAAAAGACGTATTTCAGAAGGAAATAGAAATAAGCTCTGTAGAGGGTAAAAGAATCACTCCCATAAAAGCGGTGTGGGGACACTTGCCACTCCTAGAAATGAGGCTATTCAGTTTTTAGGGAAAACATGTTGGCATCAAAGCTAGAGAGAAGCTACAATAACTACTATTAAATCCTTTCTACTGTTATCCCACACCTCCCTATCTTTCTAGTGCCAGCATAAATCTACACAAAGGTTAAGTCCTTTATCAGAGGCCAACACTCACCAACCCCCTCCTTTTCTTCCCCTTTTTTTAAACCCACTCAGCCACAGATCAGCACTTTCTACCCTACTGGTACATCATTTTTTAAACTAGGCTACCTCAAGAACAGGTCCTGTTGTCTGACCCGTAACACCAGCACTACCAGTTGTAACCTACCACTGGTCTTCCACTGGAAACCCCCCCAAATTCTGTATCCTTTCTTAGACTTTCTCAGTCAAGTATGTTTGATTATGCACAACTCCTGTACCCTCCTTTAGACTAGCAGAAGTGGAAAATGTATTCATTACAATTTTCATAAAATTATGTATGCAAAGCAAGACAGCAGAAAACCAGTACGTAACCATCACTTCCGCCTCCCTTCTCCAGGGTAATTTATGAATATGTTAACACAAAAGAGTTAGGATCTAGGAATAATTCCCCAGATCTTATGTTTACAGTTTGTCAGTCTACACCTATTAACATGCTAAACCTTGCATTTAAGGTCTGGATATGTTCCAGAACTAAGTATGTCCTTGGAAACGGATTTCTGATAGTGATGTCCATGGCTAAAATTTCTGACATGCTCAGCACCATCTAGAATTAAACTAAAACTCTCAAGGGCACATGCCTGCATAAGCTTTTTACCTAATATATTGCTATACTAAATCACAAAACAAATATATGCATTCAAATCTTTTGTCAATTGAAAATGTGTGCTACTAATTTGGTGCTGATGCAAGGTACAGGCTCACAACAGGGTGTGAGAAAAAAAAGAAAGTATAATAGCAGTCAGTGTGCAAAAACAGGCTAAGAGAATATCAAGTACAAAAGCATGCAATCGTTTTCATTGATACAGTAATTGTTCACAGTGAGTTATAAAATAGAATTAAGAAACCATTACTAGAAGAAGGAACATTTACTTATCCACAGAGTAAATGCAAAACTCTCTCCCTGTACATCATATCATTGTATATACATTTAGTATTTAATTAATATTAAATACATTTAATCTTATTAGAGGATGGCAGTAGAGACTGAGGTCTTTTATTTACAAACAGCATAGCTGCAAAAGTGTCAGCTTTGCCACATTGCCTGCTGCATTAAAGAGGTATATCAAGGAGAGCACGTTTCAAATGAAAATCTGACCTTGCAGCCAAAACCCAAAGATAATGTAACTGGTCCGTGCTAGGTAGGACTGTGGCGCTTTTAATCTGATTGATTACTTTTTTTTTAGACAGCAAACTCAGGAGTAGAGAAGGTATTATGAGTCTTTAAGGAGACTGCAGAAAATCATCAAAAATCAGGGAAAGATTGTTATATGTGAGGCTGATGCCATGCACAAAAAATGGTATCACGTTCTCTCCTATGCTGTTCTGACTCATCTGTTTCACCATAATCTAAGTCTTAAAATCTCACCTGTTCTACAGAAGGATTTCTACTGAATAATACTGTATATCTATATGAAAGATCATCTCTCATTTTAGCACAAGGGACACTCTGGTTGCAGAAAAGTGCTCAATATGAGCATGATAGCGTTTCTACCTCAAGACAAATTCTGTTGAAGGACCCACCTCTACTCCCAGCGGGGAACAAGGCTTTTGGCACACCAAGTTTCCTCTCCTATTCAGGGCACAGACACTTTTTCCGTAACCACCTTCTTCTTGATAGTAACAATACAATTTTGTTATTAACAAGAGGATCTTTACTGCAGCTTTATACCGCTAAATGATGTTGAAACACCCCACCTTTCACTTTTCTCTATCTATTGGGTTTTGGTTTTTTTTTTTTGGAGAGTGAAACTGAAATGAAACATTGAGCTGCCTAATAAAACCTGCTCTGCTAATCCTTAGAAGTCATGATCTTTGTCTACCATGGAAATTTACTGGACGAATGGAAGTACTGTAAGGTTTGTCTTTGTTTTACTCTTCAAATCAACAAGGGGACTGCAAATGCAAGATGGAGGAAGAGGCATACAGCAGGGAGACAGGTCTAAGTATACCTCACCTCTTTTACGTGTCCCAGGATGCATTGTGCTGTTCAGGTACGTGACTGCACTCTTCTTGCGCTGCAGGGAAGAATAGAACAACTTTTGTTGGCTAACGTTTTTGGCAACAACTATATGCAATAGCTGAGGAACAGCACTGTAGTACTAGAGTGAGATTACTGGCTGTTCTGTTTTCTGAAGCACAGCTTCAGAAAGGTTAGTTTTTTTACACTGCTTCTGACATCTGGACTGCTTCAGGCTGATACACAAGCTGACCTAATGGTAAGACTAACACACACTGCCATTTAACGTCAGCATTACATAGGAGAAGGCAGAAAAAGACATCAGTATTAGAAGAATATCTCAATGTATCTACTATTTGAAAATCTGAGGGTCATATCACAGCAATGGCCTTTTGAATTATAAATGATAGCCTGCCTGTTTAGTTAGGACTGAGAGAACTTAGGAGGCAGCAACATGGCAGAAAGACACACAAGCTCAGAATGAAAAGATCAGCTTCCCCCAGCAAAAAAATAATACCTCAGGCTCAAACACGGCTCCACTGTACACTGGATTTGCTGTTGTTCTTCTTTTCCTCTCTTGTCGCTTACTTTGGATTTCTTGAAAAACAAAGCATTCAGGTTAGAAAACAATGAGTCTCAGAAATTATACAAAAGTCCTCAGAATTCAGTTTGCATGTCAGGACAGCTGTGAAGATTCCAACAGAACACCAGTCATGCTGAATATAGGCAACTTTGTTCTACTTTTAATTTCTGAAGGTTTGAAAACTAAGAGCTGTCAAGGAATACAAATACAGTGCTCAACTAACTAATGAAAAGATTGCCACCTTCTCATCAAGTACTCCATGATTAAGACATTTCAAACTCATGGTTAGTGTAACTGGGATCTAAAAAGAAAAGCCACTGGTAACCTTGTTGATAGTTAAAAATAAATACAGTACAGAAAAATGCATGCCTTTGAAATGCTAGGCTATATTTAACTGTATAGGATTAAAGAGTTTAAATTATAAAACCAATTATAATCTATTAACTCATTCACTACAGATTATAGTCCCATGAAACATGAAATCAAGAAATAAATGAAAAATCCAGATGTGGGTTACAGTAAAATTATCCATGGTGTAACTTTGCAGATACAGGGGCTGTCCAGAAAGCAATGGGATTGTCACAAAGTTCTTTCCTATCATCAGAGTGTACACTTTCTTCCCAACCACTAATCTCCGCTGCATAAACAACTTCTTTGTCTCAGTGTAATAAGAGGAATAAAAAAAAAATAAGCACAAACAAAGTGAGATCAAGAGTACAGACATCCCAAATGTACTTTTGTGCAGGTAAATACTGCATTTAATACAGAAATATTTTGGACCTGTACTTCCAATTCAGAATGGCCATGAAACAGGGAACTCACGAATCGACTTAAGACATTTTTCCTACCTTCCAGGTGGTCATGAGTAACTAGTCCCAGAGACACCATAAAGGCAAGTTTCTGTGAGGGGGAGAAAAAAACATCATGGCAATTCCAACCATTAGGAAGAGCTATGTCACTTAGGCCCTTTAAAGTCAGTTGACAGGTAACCAAGCAATAAAAATATTATTTAGTAATACTTTGCTTCTATAAATCACTTTTCATTCATATATGTCAAACTGCTTTAGAGAGGATAGACAATAGTCCCATTTCCTAGATGGGAACCTAGGCTGAGATACAGGGAAATGCCAATTGCTTATGATCACAGAGCTGGCAGAGCTGGGAACAAGAAAGCAGTTTCTTTACTTCCAGTCCAGCACTGAACTGAGTGTGTGATCAGCTCTTAGTAAACACCAGCACAGTTCAAATGCCAGCAAAATATTGCTAGTTGAAGATCTAAGGAGCAACTACAAGGAGCAACTCTGGTTTATATCTGCCGTTCAATAAGGGCTACGGCTTTCTTAAAGGATTCTAATTTTAATGCAGGAAGTGCACAGACATGTGGAAATCAGAATTGGTACTGACAACAGTTAATGCTCACACAGTAGTCAGTTTGAATCTATCTATAAAAACAAATGTAGCAGAGCATTTAGCTGTAATCAGTTCCAAAGCTCTGCACAGCAGAAAGGTTTTAAGAAATAGCCATTCTGGCCACTCTATCCCCACAAAACCAACTGGACCTAAACTGGAATAAAACCCAGGCAGAATGTGAATGTACATGACTCTTTCCATCCCGCTCACCAGAGCAGAAATATTTTATAAAGCAAAATGAAGACATTTCTCCAGCAATAAAAATAACTCCAGAAGTTTAAAACCTCAAAGGAATGGAAATCAACACTGTAATCTAAGCCTCCCGGTTGAAGGAAGTATCAGAGGGAAATTATGATCTTGTAACTTACAAAAGACTCAGAAGTCAAATGCCTTCCAGGACTGAAAAATGCAATGCATTATATTTATTTAGATTTCTTATTCTGTAGCCTTATCAACTACTGCTGTCCAACAGGAATGTATGGAATGTTAAAGCTAAGGAGTCTTGAGGGAACAGAGCGGGGAAAATGTTTTCTGAAGGACAGAATGTTTCCTTTTTGTATTTAAAAGAAAGCTCTGGGTGTGTTCTGATACCTGTGGATTTTCTTCTCGTTTTGGCTTCGGTGCAGCAGGTGGAGTAACTGTACGACTTTCTGTTTGCTTCTCTTCTGCTTCCACATGTGGTTTAATAGTCTGAAAAGAAACAGTGTTTCTCTCATTCAGTGATAAGAATCACTTTTTTTACTTTGACTAGTAAAGCAAAACAAATACTTATGCAGATACAGGAGAAAAACAGTTTAAAGCTGGCAGTGTACTAACAAATACTTAATTGAGGAATCAGGCCTGAGAGGAATGTTAAATAAAGTGTTTTCCTTTAACAAAGGATGAAACAGCCTTACCACCATTCCATTAACCCATGCAGCCACGCAAGCAATAAAAGTCATCTTAAGAGTTAACTCCATTACAGAAATCACTATACGGTATGGGAAAACTAACAGACACTTTAAGAAAAAGCATCCCATGGAAGACTTCCAGGTAGAAACCATTCTGCATGGCACATGCATTTTGTACTTCTCACTCCTCAGTCTTCATATTTCACAGAATTACAAATGGCTCAAAAACTGTCTGACTCCTACTATCTTAGATGTTTCTGAAGCTTTTTTCTTTTCTGAAGTTATAATCTTCTGCAATGGTATCACAAATCTGCACGACAATCCTCAGCCCATGGCATAGCTGTTGAGGCCACAAACTGAGTGAGGTAAGTTATAGAGAGACAAAATTTTCCCCTTTATGATACGGAGAAAATACAGAGAAAAATTCATGTATTATTAAACCATCACCATTGTTCTGTGTGTTTTTCAACAGTTGAATTGCCAGTAATTATTTGAAGAGCAAACTAATATTGCTGGCATCAAAAGGAATGGGCATCAAAAGTATAGTATTATAGAAGTACAACTTCAAATCATATGAAAAGGCCACACACTGCTGAGTAACTGGTGAACAGCCTTGAGGTATGCAAGAACCTATGCGTGAGAATTCATAAGCAGAACTGAGCATGAGCATATCTTTCATGCACATGGTTTTCACAGTCTCCACAGGTGACTTCAAAAGCAGCAGATAACTTCAAGGCACAGTAGTCTATGAAAGAGTTTATAAATGAAATATATACTACTATTATTTATATAAATTACATAAATATTATAT